GTCTTTGATCCTGGACAGTTAAGTAAGGCTCAGGACATTTCCTTCTTCCTAGGATAAGGCTGACTCTCACTAGACGCAACCCCTAGATAGAATGTAGGTAGAATCCTAGTTTTCCATAGGAGTCAGGTTGCAAGAATGACGGGAGAAGGGCTCTACAGCAACCCGGTAATCAGTGATGGCCACTATTTTCATTTCGTGCAACTGCCCTTGTCAGCTAACCACGTGGGTAAGAGGCAGACACGTCCTGCGAGCTAATTACAGGGCACAGTGAAGGCGAGGTGGGTAACGTTTCGCTGCACAGCTACGAAAACAAACAAACCGAAATATGCCAAAAAAATAAATAAATAAATAAAAGAAGTCCTTAAATATCAGAAGCCGGAGGCAGACCTGTGTGTCTCTCCTCTGAAGCCAAAGAACCGGACTAAATGGCAGAGACACACCCACACAGGGCGTCTGCTTCCGGCCACGTGTGCACCCTCAGCCAATGGAAAGGCTTCATGCCACTCCCGCTTCCTCACCCTGGCAACGGGCGAGCGACTACTTCCGGCGCAAGGAGTGCTCAGCGCTGACGCGGGTGAGTGTCCCTCGTTCTCACGCTGTCCGCGTCGCCGCCGCCGCCGCCGAGCCTCGGTCTCCGTGTGGCCCCGCAGGCTCGCGCGGCGTGCTCTCCCGACCGCACGGGACGGCGCTCACGGCGCCACCTGCCTGTCCCGGGGCAGGGGCCCACGGAGTCCCAGGCCCCGAGTCACGGTCACGCGTGGGCCCCGCCAGTTTGCTTGGCTGCGGAGTTCTCGTAGCGCTTCGCGCGCTGTGCAGTCACAGGCTGCAGGGCACTCACAGCCTCCGGGACCGCGCAGGGTCTGGCATGTCCCACATGCTGCTGTCGCAGTGGGGCCAGAGCTTCCCGGAGTGTATTAGAGGCCTGGTTTGAGTCCCGAGGGACATTAGCCTCCAGTGCAGAGGCAGCGGAGGCTAGGGCCGAGTAGAGGAAGCAGCTGGAGAGGCAGGCAAAAAGCAGTAGCTGGAGGTGTTTTGAAGTAGAGGGCATAATGATTCCGAGTTCAGCGTAATTCTGCTGGGAGAGGAAAGAAAGGTTTATTGGGGGCCATTGGACTAAGATCTTTGAAAAATAAGCTAAGGAAGTTTAACTTACACACTTGAGCATTTAATAATTTCCCTTTTTGTTTGTTGTAAATAAACCTTTTTTTTTTTCTCACTACTTCAGAAAGCAGTGGTTATTAGAAAACGTTTGGGAAATGCAGAAATAGTTAGAGATTAACATAGTTGCCTCAATTAAGGCTCTATAATTTCTTAGGTGTTTAAGCTATCACCTGCAAATGTGTGTGTACAGTACGGTTCAAAGTAAAAATTGCAATTTGTGTATGTTGTATTCATTGCATGGATAGATTGATTATGCTTTGTCTTTAGTTTTTTTTTTTATTTTATGTGAATGAGTGTTTGCATCATAATGTCGGTCTGCACCACGTGCATATCCATGGAGGCCAGAAGAGGGCATCCTATTTCCTGGAACTGGAATCATGGATAGTTATAAGCCAGCGTGTGGTGCTAGGAGCTACTCAAGTCTTCTGCAAGAGAAGCAAGTGCTCGTTACTGCTAAGCCATCTTTCCAGCCCTGGTTATGTTTTTTCTTTTTGAGGTGTAATCAACTCAGTACAAAATCCATTCTTTTAAATTGTAACTCTGTGTGTGTGTGTTTTAAGTGTTCAAAAGTTTTATAGTATTGCTGTCTAGTCCCAGAACATGTTTATCACCTTCACCAAAAATCTCATGCCCATTAGAGTTAACCCTCCACCAGCTGCCCCTCCCACCCCCAACTTCTGATCCATGTTTCTATTTGCATCTTCCTGTTTTGTACATTTCAAGTAAATGGAAGCATGTAACAGGTGTCCTTTTGTGTCTAGCCTCTTTCAGTTAGCAAGCGTAATGTTTTCAGGGTTTGTCCATGACTATGTAAAAATACGTTATTTATTTTTATTTATTTTTCCCTGTTATTCTGGGGATGGACCTCACATGCTAGGTAAGAATTCTACCACTGACCTACATAACTCACCCATTCCTTTTTATGGATATGTGGTTGTATTGTTTTGTATTTTGGGCTGTTTGGAATAATTCTACACATCCTCTATGACTTTTTGTGTGGATATTTCCTTTAGTTTTTCTTTCTTTCTTTTTTTTTTTTGTATGTACCTAGAAGTGGAACTTCTGGGTCATGTGTTTTGAGAACTGAGCATACCTTGTAAAGTGGCTACAGCATATTAAATCAAATTGATTATGAAGGCCTGCTTCTCTAAATCCTGGCAAACACCTGTTGTTTTGATTATTCGCATCTCATTACAGATGGTTGTGGGCCACCATATGGGTGCTGGGAATTGAACTCAGGATCTGGAAGAACAGCCAGTGCTCTTAACCTCTGAGCCATCTCTCCAGCCCCTTAATCCCAATCTTAATTACTCATATCACACACTACATATTATGCAGTAATTATGTATGTTAGTGTAGGTTACAGAAGGTGTGCTCAGAAGCAGAATTACTGGCTCAAAGATGAATTTGAGTTTGTTCTGGAACTCATTTAATGAAGCATTGCAATCTCAATATGATACTAAAAGCACAAAAGATACTAGTGAAATAGTATCTCCTTATTGTTTTGCTTTCTATGGTTAATAATCTTAAGGATCTTTCCATGTACTAATTGATCCTTATATAATTTTGGAGAAATATGTAATGTTTGACTAGGTTTTTTTTTTTTTTTTTATGTCCATGTACCACATGTGTGTCTGTTATTAACAGAGGCCAGAACTACATAATAGAATGACTCTGTCTCAGATAGAGATACCCGTCTTTAAAAACTAAACAAACAAAAACCACCACCACAACAAAAAAATATTGCTGAATCTAGAGTCAGAAATATTTACCCCTGTATAACTTCTGGTAATCTAAAAGTTTTTATAGTTTTGATGTACTTAATTTTGGTGTATAGTAGCAGAGAGGAGCACAGCTTTACTTTTTGCCTTCTGGCTATCTAATTTTCATCACCTTTGGTGACTTTCCTTTTCCCATTAACTGACTTAGGCATCCATCTTGAAAATCAGTTGGCCACAAATAATGTTAGTTATAACTATTCCTCTCTGTTGAACTCTTAGGTCGCACATGTTTTTAAAATTCTATATTACCCTATATTAAGCATAGCATAAACTGTGTAAAGCTAACCAGGAGTGGTGGCATATGCTAGAAATCCTAGAACTTGGGAAGTGGAGGGAGGAGGATCAGGAGTTTGAGGTCAGTCTGGGCCACATGAGACCCTGTCTCACAAAACAAAACAAATGATCATCAACAACACAAACCAACCTAAGAAAGACTGTTTAAAATTTAGGTAGAAGGTGTGCTCAGAAGTAGAATTACTGGCTCAAAGATGAATTTGAGTTTGTTCTGGAACTCATTTAATGAAGCATTGCAATCTCAATATGATACTAAAAGCACAAAATACTGTGTTTGTTTTTTAAAATGAGCGCTTCTCACTTCATATCCCTGATTGACCTGCCACCCGTTTTGTAGACCAGGCTGGTCTTAAGGTTGCAGTGAGCCTCCTATCAATGACTCTTTATTATCAGTTGCAATAGCTTAAGGGCTAGATTTCTTCTGTAAAGAAATATTTTATTATCAGATAGATGATTTCTTGATTGTCTTCCTCCTATACTACTTTGGAAAGATTAAACAGGAAACATGATACTTCTAAATTGTTTAATTAAAAAAAAAGTCATCACGTGATAGGAAAACTAAAAAATTATGTGATTTTATATATATATATATATATATATATATATATATATATATATATATATATATAAATGACTGTAAGGTGAGTTAGAAAAGGATTTTGCAACTATGAAAAATGCTGTGGGGATGACCTAGACTTTAGGGGAAAAAAATGAGCTCATTTTAGTAGGTTAACAAGGAACACCAAGATGGAGCTTCAAGGAGAAAAAAACCATGGCTCTAGTCACAATTTTATTTCAAGTCAGAGCATAAAAAAGCTAAGAAATCATGTGTTTTGCTGAGAGGATTGTTTGGAAAGATTGGCAGTAAGCACAGTTCTGGAGATGTTGAAAATAGGCCCAGAGGGCTTATGAACTAGGATCGTAGGTTGGTGAGCTTGCCATGAAGAGCAGGAGGTTAGAGAACCAGCGTGGAGGAGGAGACTAAGAGAAGACCGTTGACTTAGGTAAATCAGAAAAGTACAGTTAATGGGAAGCAAGAGCTTATGTTTTAGACAGCTTGGTTAAGATATAATTTATGTGTCAACTCAAAGTATACGATGTATTAGCATTTATTGTATTCAGACTGTGAAACCTTCAATGTCCTAATCAGTTTTAGAATGTTGATTGTATGTACATTGTATTGTACAATGATATTGTATTTAATATTATTCATTTTAAGGCTCTTAATACTGATGTCATGAGTATGTTATGTTCATACACAGAATATTTGTATCTTTCTACAGTGTTAGAATTTATTGGGGAGCACCCTGGGATATTGCTTGGTTGTTAGAGTGTTTGTTTGCCTACCAAGCTGCAAAACCTGGGTTAGATTTCAAGGACTGCACAACATTGGGTGTGGTGGGACATGCTTGTAATCTCAGGATTCTGGAGGTAGAGTCAGGAGGATCAGAAATTCGAGGCCATTGTTGGTAACATGTGTTCAAGGCCTGCAGGGGATACATGATGCCTTATCTCAAAAACAAACAAACAAACAAACAAACAAAATAAGAAAGAAAGAAACAAAATGATTGAATAAAAAGTTCACAAGCTTTTGTTGCCTCTAGTTTGTAAAGTTGTCAAATTTGCCTTGATAGTTAGCTATTTCAAACACAGTTTTTTTTTTTTTAAATCCCAATCTTTTTTTTTTTTTTTTTAGATTTATTTATTTATTATATATACAGTGTTCTGTTTGCATGTATCCCTGCAGGCCAGAAGAGGGAGCCAGATCTCATTACAGATGGTTGTGGGCCACCATATGGGTGCTGGGAATTGAACTCAGGATCTGGAAGAACAGCCAGTGCTCTTAACCTCTGAGCCATCTCTCCAGCCCCTTAATCCCAATCTTAATTACTCATATCACACACTACATATTATGCAGTAATTATGTATGTTAGTGTAGGTTACAGAATGTGGTAAAGAAGGTACAGGGAGTTCAAGCAGTGCAGAGGCTTTCCTGGAGGCAGAGGTGGAGAGCTGATGCTGATGGAGAGCTGCAGGAGCCAAACATAGCAGGGCTGCAGGGTCAGAGTTGATCCCAGGCCTCAGGGTTGAGTTGAGCTGCAGAGGTGAGGTGTGGAACCATGGAGTCAATAGAGGTGAGGTGTGGGCCTAGAACTGGGCAGATTGGCAGATGATAATGTGAGTGGGCCATTTCATCAGTAGGGACTTATCTGAGCTTAATACTCAGAGACAGTCCAGATTTCTTTGCCTGTGGATCCCTTTATACACACACTGGGTGGTGAGATGACAGGTTGGTGGAGGCCATTGCTCATAGTGTTAGGGTGCCCAGATAAAGGTGTAACACCCTTCTTCAGACTGATGTCTTCGGTAAAATATTGGCTTCTCTTTGTCTGGTAAGATTTAATATCCCCACATACTCCTATGTTCCCAGTCTGATATGTTTATAGAGGTGCTTTTTTACTTTAAATAACAAGTTGGTTTTCAGTCTGTGCCACCCCTGCATGGTGCTGGACAGGTAGCATTATCTGTGCACAGTGTGTACAATTGGGAGCAGAGTCAATTTGCTTCTACATATGTACTCAAAGTGGACCAAAATTTGGTTTGTAAAATGAAGTCACCTAGACCAAGGCACAGCCTGGAAGCCACTGTTTCCTGTCCTGCTGAGATCTTTTTATAGTAAGTTCTTTAGTTTATATGTGTTCAGACAAGTACTGTCACTGGACAGAGATTTAAATTGTAAGCTTCTCATGTTCTGTTAATATTATCCAGTTCAACTATTTAAAAAATACCTATTTTGAAAAATACATGTGCATGACTTTTTGTAAGTAATGTGCATGTTGGTAGAAAGAAATAGAGGTAATCTCTTCCTATTTTTCTCTAGGGTAACTCCTCCTGTGAAGTTGCTTTTGCATGGAAGGATGCTCTTTTCCTGATAGAAGATGATAATCTTGGAGAATGACCATGGAGAAGGGGATGAGTTCTGGAGAAGGACTGCCTTCCAGATCACCTCAGGCATCTGCTGCTAAAGTAACAGTCAAGGAATCAGAAACAAGGCAGCCCTGTGAGGAGAAACGAGGGGGCTTTGTGCTGGTGCATGCAGGTGAGACCTTGTGGGTGAGTTGAAATGGAAGCTGAAAAGAATGTTTTCTGTTTCTTGCTTTGAAAAACACTGAAGACTGAATTTTGTATCTGCCAAAGAGAGATTGGAACCCAAGAACCCGTTAGATGTTAATAGAGTGAGGGCCTATTCTATACTCCAGGTTGGAAGGTCTAACAATGATACGTCTTCCTATGTCTTCATTATTTCCCCTCTCTCTTATTTATCTTTACCTTATGTAGTACATATGTTTAGATCAGTAGTGTTAAAACCAAAGTAAATTTTAAATATTTATTTGCTTGTTTATTTATTTAGAGACAGGATCTCATTATGTAGTTCTGACTGTCCTAGAACTCAATATATAGACCAAGCTGGTCTCAAACTCACAGAGATCCACCTGCCTCTGCCTCCCAAGTGCTGGGATTAAAATTGTGTACCACTATGCCTGGCTTGAAACCAAAGTAAGTTTTTAAGTTCTGATTTATGTTTTATAGGATAATGCCACTGAAAAATTCTTTCTGGCCCCATTTTAGACAGTGGCCATCTTAAAGTATAATTACAAAATTATATAGATCAGCTTTTTCCCCTCATCTACCCACCCATCCATCCATCCGTCTATCTATATGTATGTATGTGTGTGTCCTTGTGTCTGGGCATAAACACCATAGCATATTTGTGGAGGTCAGTTATGGGTGTCAGTTTTCTCTACTATGTGGGTTATCGGGATTGAATTCAGTAATGGTGGCAAGCACCCTTGCCTACAGAGCCATCTTGACAGCCCATAGTTTAGCCTTGTAAGAATGTTTTAATTTCTCTTTGCCCTCTGCAGATTCAGTGATTCTTTATGAAATGAACTGACAATTGAAAAATTAATGGGAGAAAAACTATAGCAAATGTATTAACATGAATATGTGTACTAGCTTTTGAGACACAAAGAAAGGGCCAGATGGTTGAAGCTGCAATAGTCTTTCCAGCTACAGACTGGAAGTACTTGTTGGGGAGGTGGTGACAGGTTCTGAGAGGACAAAGAGAAGAAATAAATTGTGAACAAATGTCTTATTATGGAGAGATGGTCTTCCAGGTTACAGTCATCAGAAGACTGTCAAAGTCTTTTGACAAAGATAATTTGGTAGGATCTTTAGTAGATGTGAAGAAGCCAGATAAAGGGGCTTCAGAGGAGTTCTGCTTACATAGTGATGTAGATGTCTTGAATAGTAAAAATCTTTTTCCCTCTAGTCTTCTGTCTGCAGTCCTCCTGAGTAGCCACCTTGTATTATGCTCAAGAAGTATATTTTGATAACAGTGAGCTAGCTTAGTGGGTAAAGGCGCTTGCCACCAGCTTGACAACCTGAGTTCAATCTTGGAATCCACATGGAGGAAGAGAGCCGACTCCCTCAGTGGTCACACATGACCTCCACATGTTTGTCTCTGTGTATGCTTGCATGCACACATCCACACAGACACAAAATAAATAATGAATGTAAAAAAATCAAAGAATTATATTTTGAGGTAAATCATTTCACTGGCTCATATTTTCCTAGTATTATAAGTGAAGAACCTTAGGACTCGAGACTCAGTGCCTTGAATGACTCCAGTTGCACTTCTGAGCAGGGCTGAGAAACCCTTAATTGACCCTAAATTTTTGACACTGTCTCATCCTGTGATCTGTCTACTTAGAAGACCATGAGGACAGAGTAAAACTTAATTCCTGGATCCTCCACTTGAGGAGGCGTGGCTTTGAGGTCACATCTACTCAGCAGGCACTTCCTTTTTTGGCCATTTCCATTTTCTTGCATATAGAATGTAAACTCCATGATACCTGTAGGGAAAGAATGGCAAGTCTCCTTTTAGCTTTATCTAGACTAGACCTATTTCTCACGAAACTAGTCTGGTTGTTAACCTTTGGCTATTTTTCAGGCTGGAGAACTTGGAAGTCCCTTAGAATCTAGTCCAGAGGGGTTAACTAACATAAAATATAGGAAGTTTGATTTCTCTGTCTCTTCCAGATCCCTGCCCCATATGTCACACCCCGTCTTTCTCCCTCTTTTACTATAGGGTCTTATGTGTGCTAGGTGAGTGCCTAGTCACAGAGGTACATCATCAGCCTTTGCTTTTTTATTGTTTAATTTTTAAAAATTATTATTATTATGTGTGCATATGATATTGTGTGTGGGTGCTTGTGCTGTGGTGCATGTGTCAAAGGACAACCTTGTGAGATGGTTTGCTCCTTCCACCTTTACATAGCTTCTGGAGACTGAACTCAGATTGCCAGGCTTGCCACAGGTACTTATCTGCTGAGCCATCTAGTTGTGCTCCCCTTCCCCATTTTTTTTAAGACACTGTCTCACTCTAGCCCAGGCTGGCCTAGAACTCACTTTGTAACCTAAGCTGACCTGGGACTCAGGGAAGTTCTCCAGCTTAGCCTTTCAGTGCTGATACTGTAGACATGAGCCACCATACGCAGATATGTAGCTTATCTTCAAGATAGGGTCCTGTTATATAGCACAGGCTTGCCTCAGATTTGTGAGTTTCTTGCCTTGGCATGTGCCACTTAAACTGGCTAATTCCCTTTCTTTTGTCTATTCTGTTTTCCCACCACACTCCCCTCTTTTACAAAGAGAGATGAGGGGGCTGGAGAAATGGCTCAGTGGTTAAGAACTCTTGCTGATCTCAGAGGACCTGAGTTCAGTTCCTAGCAACCCCATAAGGCAGCTTAGCACCTCCTGTAACTCCAGCTCCAGAGGATCTGATACCTTTGGTACTCATGGGCACTTGCACACGTGTGGCATATACAAACACGCACATGTGCAGGCAGGCATGCTCACACACCCACAGAGATAAAAACAGGATCTTTAAAAAAAGAAAGAAAAGGTGAGATGAGGCAAATGTATTGAAATGTGTTTACTTTTACTCAATTTAAAATAGACCTGGGACTCTTAACTCCTGCTTCTGAATCTCTGGTTCATTATCATCTTTACTGCACCATGTCAGCAGTGTATCCATAATACCAGTGAGTAACTGTCTTTAAAGTTATTGGTAAAAAGTACAAGAAACACTTGGGAGGCAGAGGCAGGCAGATCTCTGTGAGTTCGAGGCCAGCCTGGTCTCCAAAGCGAGTTCCAGGAAAGGCGCAAAGCTACACAGAAAAACCCTGTCTCGAAAAAAACAAAAAAAAAAAAACCAAAAAGTACAAGAAACATCTGAAACTTAGACAAGTAGTAACAGCTTTAGATATTTGGAAAACATTGCTTTTTTTTGACTGTTATGATTCTGTTCTCTTTCAGACATACTTGATGGTAATGGCCCCTAGCTAAAGACTGTGCTAGAGATCAGAATAAGTAGGGATCAGTCTGGGCTGTGGCAGGAAATCTTGTGACAACCTCTTCTTATCTGGCCAGACCTGACCCTGCTTAGCTTCTGAGATCAACTGAGATTGGGTCAGTTCAGGGTGGCATGGCCATAGCCACATCCTCTATTTCTTTTCTTTTTTTCTTTGTTTTTCTGTTTTCTTTCTTTCTTCCTTTTTATTTTATTTTTTTGGTTTTTCAAGACAGAGTTTCTCTGTGTAACAGTCTTGGCTATCCTGGAACTTACTCTGTATACCAGGGTGGCCTCAAACTCACAGAGATCCTCCTGCCTCTGCCTCCCAAGTGCTGGTATTAAAGGCATGTGCCACCACCGACTAGCTCACATCCTCTATTTCTAAATTATTAGAAATTCAAATAGATTGTTGACTACGAAGAAGTCTGTATCTTACATATTTAACATAATTTAATGTTAAAGATTACATTTCTCATATAATGTACAACTGTTTTGTTCAGCATTAGACTTACCCAACATTTAGTAGAGTTTTTTTAAAAAAATTTTTAAAAGATTTATTTATTTATTTATGTGTTTGAGTGTTCTGTCTTCTTGTACATGTTCATGACAGAAGAGGGCATCAGATCCCACTGTAAGTGGTTCTGAGCCACCATGTGGTTGCTGGGAATTGAACTCAGGACCTCTGAAAGAGCAACCAGTGCTCTTAACCACTGAGCCTTCTCTCCAGCCCTAGAGTTTTGTTTTTACCTAGCTATTCTCAACATTGGCTAATCTGATACTGATAATAAGAAAAAAGTCAACTGTGCATGGGGACATATACTAATCCCAGCACTTGGAAGTCTGTGTTAGGAAGAATACCATGAGTCTGAGGCCAGCCTGGGCTACAAAAAGAATTCCCAACCAACTGGAGCCACCTGAAGAAGTCAATCCAATCCAATTCAACCAATCAGCCAACCAATCAGCCAACCAAAGAAAAAAAGCAAAACAAAGTAGCCACCTTTAAATTTTTGATAAAATATTTTTTTTTTTATATTTACATATATCCATGTGAGTATATGTGCCCACAGAGGCCCAGAAGAGGGTCTTAGATTCTCTGGAGCAGGAGGTACAGGCGGATGTGATCTGTCTAGTGTGGGAGCTAGGAACTGAGCTGGGATTCTCTGCAAGAGCAGTGCATGCTCTTAACCACTGAGCCATCTCTCCAGACCCAACCTTTAATCTTAAAATTGAAAAGCAGAGACTTGTCTACATTGTGAATGTCAGTGTTACTTGCAGTAGAGAAACCATAGCTCACACAGTGCAAACATAATAGTGCAGTAAAGTTTTTGCTATGTGTTATTACATGGGAGTGCTCTGAGTGCTGAGCCTGTGTTTCCTTTGTCAAATAGGGAAATGGGCAAATATTAACCAGATTCTAAAGATTACTTGGGGCCATATTGAGCTCTTTTCTTTATTCTACTCAGAAAAATTTACATGCTAAGCTTATTTGGCAGTAATATCCCAGGCCTTAGCAAATATTGCTGAAAGTTTGGGGTCCCTGAGTTGGGACACAGCAGACCTAGGATCACATGCTTTACACCATAGGTCTGCGTCTGTTGGTGTGAACTACTTCCAGGCAGTATCTCTGATAGTCTAATGGTTATGCCTACTTGATTTTCTTAAGTTAACTTTTTTTTTTTTGGTTTTCAAGACAGGTTCTCTCTGTGTAGCTTTGCGCCTTTCCTGGAACTCATTTGGTAGCCCAGGCTGGCCTGGAACTCATAGAGATCCGCCTGGCTCTGCCTCCCGAGTGCTGGGATTAAAGGTGTGTGCCACCACTGCCTGGCTCTTAAGTTAACTTTTAAACATGTATTCTTTTAAAATTTCACATATGTATATGATATATCTTGATCATATTTCCTGCAGTCCTTCCCTCCAGCTCTCCTCAGCTCCTCCCCAATACATCTCTCTTCCAACTTTGTGTTTTCTTTTTAAATAACTTAGTCCAGTTAATGTTGCCCACCTGTGCAAGGGTGTAGGGTCATCTGCTGGGGCTTGGGCAACCTTCTAGTGGCCACCACCCTAAAGAAAAATGACTCTCAATTCCTCAGCAGCCATCAGGAGCCCCTCCCACTTCATGCTGGGTTCCTTTAGCTGGTTTGATCTTGTGTAGGTCTTGTGTAACTATAGCTGCTATGAGTTTGTGTGTGCAGTAGCCACACGAGGACAGCATTTCTTCCATCCTCAAGCCCTTACATTCTTTCTGATCCTTCTTTGATGTTCTCTAAGCCTTGCAGGGGGCTAGGAGTGGTGGTTGATATGTATGTCCCATTTGTATCTTGTAGGTGGAAGTTTTCCTGTATGGCGGCCAGCTGGTGGTCGGGACAAATCTCTCCCACTCGCGTCCCCCTAGTAAACACACAGAGGCTTATATTAATTATAACTGCTTGGTCATTAGCTCAGGCTTATTACTGACTAGCTCTTACACTTAAATTAACTCATAATTCTTATTTATGTTTAGCTACGTGGCTTGGTACCTTTTCTCAGTTCTACCTTGTCATCTTGTTTCCTCTGTGTCTGACTGGTGACTCTTGACTCTGCCTTCCTCTTCCCAGAATTCTTGTCTGCTTATTCCGCCTATACTTCCTGCCTGGCTACTGACCAATCAGCATTTTATTTATCAATCAATCAGAGCAAACATTCACAACATACACAACGACATTCCACAGCACTTCCCTTTTTCTGTCTAATCAAAAAGGAAGGTTTTAACTTTAACATAGTAAAATTATATGTAATAGAACAGTTAAGCAAGAATTATGTATTTGGCAAAATTAAAGAAAATATTCTATCTATCCTATATTTGTGAGTTTAAAGTTTCATATCTAATTTATCATTACCAAGGAAAATTATAACTATCAAGTCTTCAACTACATCAAAGACCCCAGAAGGATATAATATTACCTAAGTAAACAGGAAGTGCATTGTAAGCAACTTCCAAAAATCTGGAAATGACAGAGACAGCTGCCTGCCTGGACAGTCATCCAAAGTTCTTCTGTAACGTTGGGGCATCCATCTTTAGCCTACAGGTCTAGAGTTTTTTTTGTCACTTTTTCCTGTGTCCTGTAGAATGTTGGACAGTCTCCTCTGCAAAGCAGGAACCTGAAGGACCATCTCGCCTTGCAAAGTTCAGTGGTCACCTTCCTATGAGTCCTGCATGTCCAGTCGTTACAACATTTTGTCAAGCAGTCCAGACAAGAACAATTTCTTGCCCAAATGGCTATTTTTGCCAAGAAGAAGATAAACTCCATATGGAGTGTCTTTAGCTTATAAAATAATAATGAGGTTTCATAGTGCTTCTTCATACATTTTTAGTTTTGGTTATACCTACCTCCTGCACTCTTTCCCTCACCCACTGCTCCCATCCCCTCCTTAACCTTTAGCTCCTATTACTACCCCTCCCGTGTTCTTCATATCATATGTGTTCTGTTCTCTCATTATCTTTTTACGTGAGTTGCAAGACCATAGGTTCCCATGTAGCTTCTTTTTTTTTTTTCTTCTTCTTTTGAGACAGGGTTTCTCTGTGTAGCTTTGGAGCCTTTCTTGGAACTCACTCTGTAGTCCAGGCTAGCCTCGAACTCACAGAGATCCACCTGGCTCTGCTTCTGCTTCCTGAGTGCTGGGATTAAAGGCTTGTGCCACCACTGCCCGGCTTCCCATGTAGCTTCTTTATGCACACATTTTTTTTAGCCCTTTTCATTTCTTCTTGTTTCTCAATCCTCTTTACCCCACTGTCTGATTGAAACCTCTCTGCATTTAGTATTCCACCTCTGAACTTTCTTTTCTTTTTTTCTTTTTTAAGTTTTTCTAAACTGGGTCTCACTCTGTAGACCAGGCTGACCTGGAACTCACAGAGATCCACCTGCCTCTGCCTCCTGAGTGCTGGGATTAAAGGTGTGCACCACCAGTGTTTCAACTGTATTTTGATATCCCTCCCTGCTGAATGACTTTTCCAGGTTAAACACGAAAAACAAACGATTTGAAGCAAGGATCCATGTATGAGAGAGAACATGCAATGTTTTTCTTTTTGGGCCTCACTCAGTATAATTTTTTCTAGTTCCATCTATTTGCCTGCAAATTTCATGATTTAATTTTTCCTTTACATCTGGGTAATATTCCATTGTATACATGTACCACATTTTCATTATCCATTTGCCAGTTGTTGGATATCTAGGTTGATGTTTGATATCTAGGTTGATTCCATTTCCTAGCTATTGTGAATAGCGTGTCAATGAATATGGGTGTGCAAGTGTCTCTGTAGTAAGATATATGGTCCTTTGGGTGTGCATACCCAGGAGTGCTGTAACTGGGTCATACGGTTCTGTGTTTGAATACTTGATTACTTTTCCTCTGCAGATCATGGTTTTAGAGAACTGTGAAGATAGGTTTGACAAAGACTCATAGAGGCTCTATCAACTTTTAGCTTTCTCTCAGGAAAGAGAATTGCTTTTGAGCCTTAAGGACTCTAGTTGTTTAGCATTGTTTCTGTTGTCCCAGGTCCCTTTAATACTGTTTATGGGTCAGTTTTTTCTCAGTCTTGAGGAAAGTTGTGTTAGGTTTCCACTAGACCCACAGGAGAGTTGGGAGGCTTAAACATGTAACCTTAATCTTCCTTAGCTTTGACCTCTATGGAATCTAGCGGAGGAAGAAGGTCATACTAAAGAATTTTAATAAGAACTCTAGTCATCAAGAGTTTAAGTTCCTGTTTCTCCCCCTCCTCTTGCTCCCCTTTCTCCTACTCTCATCCCTAGCTGGACCCTTTAATTAAAAGTAAGGGGCTGGAGAGATGACCCAGTGTTTAAGAGCACTGGCTGTTCTTTAAGAGGACTGGAGTTCAATTCCCAGAACCTACATAGTGGTTAGGAACTGCCTGTAACTCCAGTTCAAGGGGATCCAGTGCCCTCTTCTGGCCTCTATGGGACATTGCATGCAAGTGGTGCACAGACATTCTTTCAGACAAAACACTGATACACATAAAATAAAAATAAATCTTAAAAAACACCAGAAAGCACTTGCTCTTGAAGAAGACTCAAGTTCACATCCCAGCACTGATGTTGGGTTGCTCACAACCACATGTAACTCTAGCTCCAAAGGATGAAACACTTTTTTCTGGTGTCCTTGGACACTTGTGTGAATGTGTACATACAGACAGACACACAGATATGCTATCAAAAGTAATAAAAATAAATGTTTAAAATTTACTTACATATATTGTGTCTGTGTGTGTGACACATAGGTGTACCTGTGGAGACCAGAAGAGGAATTTGGGTTCCCAGGAGCTAGAGTTAGGGGGTTGGTTGTGTATGAGCTGCCTGATGTGGGTCCTGGGAACTGAACTGGGTTTCTTTGGAAGAGCAGCAAGTGCTCTTAACCACTGACCCATCTCTCTAGTTCCAAGAATAAATTTCCTTAAGAGAACTAGTTTATTTGGAGCCAAAGTTTTAAGTAACTTTCTGGATATTTGTTTAAAAGACAGACCATGAGGATTTTTGGAGAATCTTGAGAATTTTAGATTCTAAATAGTAATTTCCTAAATAGTCGGGCTTTTGAAAGATCACAGAGAAGGACTTCAAGGTTCTTTGTTCCTGGTACCACCTGCGTTATCAACTCCATTCCAAAGGAACTCCTGAGTTTAGTATTTTTTTTAAATTAAAAATCACATTTACTTATTTATCTATCTACCTATCTATCTATTTATTTGTATATTTAATGTGTGTGGTGGTAGTGGAGGCCCTGTGCCACAGGACACTTAAGGAGATCATTACACTTATGGAGATCAGAGAATAACTTGGGGAGTTGGCACTCTCTTTTTACCAGATAGGCCTCTGGAATAGAACTTAGGTTGTCTGGCTTGATGGAAGTATCTCTCTGATCCTGGTGGAGGTTCTTGAAGGAGGTAGGGGGTGACCATATGAAGGATCTTTCGGGACATGAGCTATTCTTAGGAGCTCTGACAGGAAACTTTTTTGAATAAAGGGAAAAGCATGATATCAGCTGTTAGAGTCTAGAATCTCATATAGCCAAGGCACTGGGACTGCGTCTGTATGGACTGCTTTTCTAGTCGGAGGGGTCACTGGTAGTTTAGCGGGAACTAACACTTGGTTTTTCTTTTTTTAATTGTAGGTGCAGGTTATCATTCGGAATCCAAAGCCAAGGAATATAAACATGTATGCAAACGAGCCTGTCAGAAGGTATGAGCAGAGTGTGTGTAATGCTTGTGATTTTGCACATGAAACTTTACCTTGAGATTTAAAGTTTTAAATTTCATTTCCAGTGAAATCTGGCTGGATCCCAAAGTTATTTTACTCATACTCATTTGTAGGATCTTAGTCCTCAGTTTTTAGTTTGATCTGTGTTTTTAATTCTTTGAATGATGTTTAGCTTTCTCCTCTTCTCCCTCAGATTGAACTCTGTGCCTTTATAGTTATGGGGATATATAACCATATCTTTTTAAACATTCCCACAGATGGGAAAAACTGTTCCTGTTACGTAGTTCAGTGTCTTTTCTTTCTTACTTTCTTTAAAAGAAATATTTTTTTTTTGAGAATTATATGTATGTATTTGTTTTTTTGAGACAAGGTCTCACTTTGTAGCTCTGGCTGGCCTAGAACTCACCTGCCTTTGCCTTCCTGTGAATAAATGCTTAATGTTTTTTCTTGATGGGAAGTCATTAAGAAAGAAAGAAAAAAAGGAAGAAGAAAGAGAGAAAATGAGTGCTTTTCTTCGATGACTCTGGGCCCTGTCCTCTGCTCTTGAGCACGGGCAGAGCAAATGCCTGTCTTCCTGGTGCAGTGAGCTCTGCCCTTCTCTTCACTTGGGCTTTGTGCACCTTTGACTTTGGAGGTTTGCTAAACTGTTGACTACTTAATTTGGGGGCAGGAATGAGGTCAGAAAAAATATGATTTGTTTTTATTTTGATCTGGACTATATAGTCTTGTAGGCAAACTTTCCGTTATTTTTATGCATACAGAATGTTAGAAATTGTGTATCAGGTAAATATGGTACTTTTTCTTTTATTTATTTTTAAATACCATTTATAAGAAAGATACTGTATCAGAATTATGAACTTTTTCTTATTAATGGATTACCATAAATTGAGAGTATTTTGGTACAGGGATTATATATAGTAAATACACACAGACACACAAACACACATGCACATATATATATATATATACATATATATATGTTCATATATACGTGTGTATTTACTGTATATATGTATATATATGTATATATAATATGGCTTTAAATATTTTCTTATGTTTTTCAGCTGTGAAATCTTTTCATTATCTGAAAAGATATGTTTAGTTTTTCTATAGCTTTAGTCCTATAAATCTTAATTTATTTTGACCTATCATCCTCTTTAATTTTTGTAAAGAATTACCTTCTTTTTTTAATATTTATTAAGTTTGTTACCTTATGTGTATGAGTGTTTTGCCTGCATTTATGTGTGTATACTACATGCATTTTTGGTGTCCTGGGTCAGAAGAAGGTGACAGGAGTTACAGATACTTGTGAGCTGCCATGTGGGTTCTGGAAATTGAACTTCTTGGATCCTCTGCAAACATCTTGGATCTTCTTAAGCATTAAGACTCCCTAGCCCCATGAATTACCTCTATATAGCCCTGGCTGTCCTGGAACTCACTGTGTTACTATGTAGACTAGGCTGCCCTCAAACTCACAGAGATCTCCCTGCCTCTGCTTGTATGTGCTGGAATTAAAGGCATGTGCCACCATGGGTGGCATGAATTACCTTCTTAAAAGTTTAATTATGAGTATGGGGCTGGAGTGGTGGTTCAGTGGGTAAGAGTACTTGTTCTTGGAGCGAACCTGGGTTCAGTTGCCAGCACCTACATGGCAATGCTATCTGTAACTGCAGTTCTGGGGGAATCTGACATCCTCTTCTGGCTTCTGAGGGCACCAGGCACATATGTAGTACACATCCAGACATGAGAGCAAAACACTCATATAATAAAATAAAACAATAAAAAGTTTAATTAGAAATACATTGTTAGTTTTTGGGCTTTGTCTTATAATTCTTTATTGATTTTTTTTGGGGAATTCACTTAATGCACCCCAATCCCCCTCACCTCCCAGTCCCTTTATAAGCTCCCCTCACTTCTTCAGCATCTCTCCCCCAAAATAGTCCCCTCCCCCCAAAAAAATCAATTAAAAACCAAGCAAAAAAAACCTCACCTTGCATCTCCATCTTTCCAACACCTCTTCATTAATCCTAGTGGCATTGAGTGCTGTGGTGTGTCACGAAGTACACCCCTTTGTCCAATCAGCCCCACCACTAAATGTTCATTGCAGTGAGTCATTGGTTTGGTTCAAGGCCTCTGACATACCGTTGTCATTGGACCTTCACCAAAATTCCTCTCAGATATCCTAATGTTGCCCTGAGTCTTGGGGATCCTGTGGTTATCATTCTGCAGAACCAGTCTCATCTCAAACTCCAGCAGGTCATAGATGTAGTAGATGTTAGGGTGGGCCAACCTCTCAGGATGTGGGTCTGAGTGGTAGCTGAGCAGGTCGTTCTGGGTCAGTGGGATGATCCCCCTCAGGCGAGAGGCAGAGCCAGTCCTTTTAGGCCCATGCATTCAGGACCAGCTCTCCCATGCCCTGGTGAGAGATGGTGGGCCATCTCTCCCGAGTGCAGGGAACCAGCTTTCCCATAGGGGTTGGGTCTAGCTCTCCTGCTGCAATGACCAGTGAGGAGCAGGGCCAGCTATCCCAGGACCGGTGAGGGCGACTGGCTTAGCACTATGGCCTTCAGATTCCAATGTTCATGGTTCCTATGACCGACGCCCTATGGCAACAAAGGCCATGAACATCATCACAGACTCCCTCTGCAGCAGGACCATGGACCCAGACATGTCATCATGGCCCCAGGAGGCAGCATAGACCACACTCAGATTGTAAAAGCCAGTTTATACCCCCCCCCCCCAATTAGGTGATTTTACTCTGTAGAATGTATTACAAGAGGTTTTTGTTTTGTTTTGTTTTGTTTTGTTTTTGTTTTTCGAGACAGAGTTTCTCTGTGTTAACAGTCCTGGTTGTCCTGGAACTTGCTCTGTAGACCAGGCTGGCCTTGAACTCACAAAGATCCACCTGCCTCTGCCTCCCAAGTGCTGGGATTAAAGGCGTGCGCCGCCGCCGCCACCACCACCACCCAGTACAAAAGAGTGTTTTTATAGTATCAAGAATATTTTTGAAAATGAATATATCCACCTTAGATTCTTTTTTACTTAATAAACACCCTCCCACCCCTGTTTTTGAAGCCCAGGCTGGATTGAATTTGTAAAATCATGCACTCTAACTACCTATCTTAAGGTCCTGGAGAAAGAAGTCCCACAAAAGACTACCATCCACATATGTAATCAGCAAGAGTGTTTATTTCCAGCATGCTGGGGCCAACCATCCTACACAAAGGCAAAATGGCAATGACCTTCAGAGGAGCTGCAGGCTCCTTTTAAGCACAGCTAAGGAGAGGTCCTAGAGCAGTTAGGTCATTTTAGATATGATTGGCTTAAGCAAGTGGCAGTCATATTAGTATGTTCTAATTGGTCAGGGCTAGTCAGGGGCTGGTTAAGGCTACAGTTTTCCCATTTTTGGGCATGCCTGGACAAGTCCTAGGCCTTTTCCTTATTTGGTTATTATCATGAGCTTGCTGACTGTGGAGGATGGCTGACCTAGTACTGCATGTACCAGGCCTCCTCGTCCTTGCTATCAGGGGTGTTGGAGATTGATTGTCCTTTGTTTGTGGCTCACTTAGAAACTGCTTGTTTAGTCTCAGGAAACTAAACTGAGGCCTGATCTCTGAGAGAAGACTGAGTAGCCTATTAATGGCATCTGCTTGATCCTCTCACCTCAGCCTCTAAAGAGCTGAGATTAAAGGTTTGAGCCACCATTGCTGGGTTATCAGAAGATTTTGTGACTTAGAAACAATAGTTGTTTTTGATGCGCATGGATGGGGAGAGTAGAAATAGTGGCAGTGGTAGCTATATCTGAGATGCAGTTCTTCATATGAAATATAAATTGTCAGGATATCTAAACTGAACTAACTCATATCATTTCTGTGGCTGTTTTGAATTGTTCTGTGAACAATGAAGCACTTTCACTTATTAAATTCCCTCCATCTTGCATTTAGTGGCTGATTTTTAGTCATTGTTTTAGTTTGGACAATATTAAGAATGATAATTAGTCTGAGTAATAAACGCTACTTTTCTTAAATCTGAGAAACATATGCCTTAAAGCAGCCTTGTCCAACTTGCAGCCCACAGGTCACATGCATCCAGGAATGGAACCCAACATAACCACAATTTCATGTCAAAGTGTCAGCAGGTCAGACACCCGTGTCTTCAAGTGGGGAGTGGAAATGCTGACCAATTTTTACCAACTCTGAGTGTCTCATATTTTTTAAGCCTTTGCAAAGCTCATGATATGTTTGAGAAACTAGTTTTTTTTTCCTTGGTTTTTTGAGACAGGGTTTCTCTGTGTAGCTTTGTGCCTTTTCCTGGAACTCACTTGGTAGCCCAGGCTGGCCTTGAACTCACAGAGATCCGCCTGGCTCTGCCTCCCGAGTGCTGGGATTAAAGGCGTGCGCCACCACCGCTCAGCTGAGAAACTAGTTTTACAGTGATAATTTCTCCTCTTGGTTTCCTAGGCAATCGAGAAGCTACAGGCTGGTGCTCTTGCGACAGATGCAGTGACCGCTGCTCTGGTGGAACTTGAGGTATTTCTTTTCTCTTTTTATGTTTTATTTAAAATATTTGAATTTACATTCCTTATTTTTAAATGGCATACACATGCTGAATTAGTCAACTATAAATCATGTAACCAGTGTTTCCCCACCAATACTACCAAAGCTCTATAAAAGATTTTGAGATAAACAATTTTTTTTTTTTTTGGTTTTTCGAGACAGGGTTTCTCTGTGTAGCTTTGCACCTTTCCTGGATCTCGTTCTGTAGACCAGGCTGGCCTCGAACTCACAGCGATCCGCCTGGCTCTGCCTCCTGAGTGCTGGGATTAAAGGTGTGCGCCATCACCGCCCGGCCGAGATAAACAATTTTTTAGAAGTATTTTCATTGATGACTTTTCCTGAGTAATAAAAAAGTTGGTCAATTCCTTCTTCCTCTTGTTTTTGGTGATAGGTATTTTCAGTAGGACAGTTTTTGAAGTTCACATCCCCAAAATGTGATGTATCTTTAACAAATACATGAGTTTAGCTCTCTATAAAGTGGTTAAAGTGGAAAGATAAGTTTTAAAGTAGAAAGATAAGTTTTATCACAAATGTAACAGATGTAGTTCCCAAAGCTATATGTTGTTTATTTTGTGAGAGCACCCTTGTTCAATAAGATTTTCAGAACAGTTCCAGGTTTACGGTGGGCACTGAGTTGAGTTGGGGAGGCTTTTGGTATTTTTATAGTGAGGGACTACCAGTTTCTCTGACTCTGGAGTATTGATGAGTTTGAGGCCTTTGAGAAGACTGAAATGTGGGGAGGATAGATTTTAGTGAGTAGACCAGATTATTAGAGATGACTATTTTACTGGATGTGAAGACTTCTTGGGGAGGAAAGTTAAGACATGGAGATGAGTGTGAAGGAGAAGGTGTGAGGTAAAGTAGACATTCCCAAGCTGACAGTTGTGGGCTTTTGGTTAGTCTTTGATATCAGGGTATCAGTCAGATTCCTTCTACTGGAAAGGTAGCTCTGGAGTGTTGACTGAAAGCCCTAGCCATGTTTTCTGTACATTCCCTCTCATTTAACTATAGAGCTGCACTTTGAATTATTGCTTTGTAGATTTTAACCAATCTTTATAACATATCTAACTTCATGCTAACACATTCAAGGCAGGTTGGAAGTTGTGTGTGTGTGTGTGTGTGTGTGTGTGTGTGTGTGTGTGTGTGTGTGATGGGTATTAGTTCTCTTGAAGTTTGGCCCCTAAAACATCTGATGTTGGGATTTGTTGGTGCTTGCCTATTGTGACCCAGGGTATCAGTCATAGCTGAATGCCAATGGGTGTATTAGAGCCTTCCTATAACTCAGTTCTATCTGAAAGGATAAAAATAATTCCTGCTTACAGAGTTATGAAGATTACTATATGCCAACCACTTAGAGTATGTATAGACCATAGTAAAAGCATCCCATAACTGTAACAGTTTTTACTTATGATGTGTTCTGCAACTATCAATGACCAGTTTACAATGTAAAGGTTTTTAAATGTTGTGGATAAAAGAAGGTAAGTGACATGAGAAGGAAGGTTGTTGTATTTACTGCTAAGTTTTCCTTTATTCAAAAGACATAGTATGGACCTTTTTGTCGAAGGTGATGTCAGAGTTATCATTTTGTGGAGTCAGTATAGGTCTGGGGGAAAAAGCTTAATAAGTAATGGAGAATGACAGTCATGAACAGAAAATTATATAAAATTAAGTTAAAAAACTTTAGAGTAACTTTAGTATTTGTAAGTTAAAGCTACATCATGTTGAATATGTGATTCTATTTCCCCCCTGCTTTCATAAATGATTATTTATTTATACTTAAAAAAATACCTTTTTTTAAATACCTCATTATGCTGGTATATGCCTGTAATCTAAGCATTCAAGAGGCTGAATACATTTGAGGCCAGCCTGGCCTACCTAATGAGACCATGCCTTAACAGCCACAAACCCCCAAACAACAAAAACTATTCTGTATTAATGAGTGGAATTTATGGTTTTTAAAATTTTTCTTTTAAGATATATTAATTTTATTTTATGTGTATGAGTGTTTTGCCTACATGTATTCTTCCTTTCTCAGATCTTGAGTACTGGGATTATAGATATGTGATGGCTAATGCTGGTTGCCAACCTGACACCCCTGGCAAGAGAGAACCTCAACTGAGGAATTGCTTCTACTAGAAAGGGCTGCGGCTGTGCCTTTAAGGCATTTTTATTGTTAATTGATGTAGGAGACCCAGCCCATTATGTGTGGTGCCATCTCTGAGCAGGTGGCCTGGGCTGTTGGAGAAAGCAGGCTGAGTCAGCCAGAGGGAGCAAGCCAGTGTCCTCTATGGCCTCTGCTTTCAGAGGGAGCAAGCCAGTGCCTTGTATGGTCTCTGCTTCAGTTCCCACCTGAAATTCCTGCCCTGACTTCCCCCAGTGATGAACTGTGACCTGAAAGTTGTAAGAGAAAATAAACTCTTTCATTCCCAAGTTTCTTTTTATTAATCCCACCAGATAAGAATAAGACCACTACCAAAATTTAAAGCCAAATTTGTAGAAAGCTTTAATTAAATACTGGCCAGGTGGATGGGCTCTGTGCTGTGAGATAATGCTTTTGTACACTGGTTTAATAAAATGCTGATTGGCCAGTAGCCAGGCTGGAAGTATAGGCAGGATAAGCAGACAAGGAGAATTCTGGGAAGAGGAAGGCTGAGTCAGGAGATGCCAGCCAGACACAGAGGAAGCAAGATGACAAGGCAGAACTGAGAAAAGGTACCAAGTCATATGGCTAAACATAGATAAGAATTATGGGTTAATTTAAGTGTAAGAGCTACTCAGTTATAAGCCTGAGCTAATGGCCAATACAGTTCGTAATTAATATAAGCTTCTATGTGTTTATTTGTGTCTGAGCGGCTGCGGACTGGGCGGGACACAGAAAAACTTCCAACTACAGCTCTGGCCATGTCCATCTCCAGGTCCATCTTCAGAAAATGGTCCTAAATCAAGTTTTGCAGCATCTTAAGTATTTCCCATCAGGTCCAGTCATGGGCAAGCATACATATGGACATACCTCCAGCCTACATCCAATCAGGGGCAACTGTTCATCCTGATGTATTTTCTGCCTGTGAACCTCTTACCCACATGTGATCAAGCACATCCAGTGCAGATGGATCAGACATGCTTGTTAGGGGAGTGAAAACATATGGCTTGTTATCTCTTATAAACAACAGCCTCCAGCATTTCAGGAACTATCTGTCCTTGGGCAAGGGCAGATCAGAAGTATTTTTATTTCATGAATCTCTAAATCGTAATTAGAACTTAAAATGTAACTTTGGCTTTCACATTTTGTCCATGGTGTTTATCTCATCCACAGGGAAGCAGACTAGGACTAGGTGTCTTTTATCTTTTATTGAAATGTGTGTTCATAGTTTAAATGCCAACTGGAAGGGTTTTCCTGTATCTTAAGAATTATATGGTCATTTCTTTTACTGTCCCCTACAGTCTCTCTCACCTGAGGTGTTTGAAATATAGTCCATTAAACCCAGGTTAGGTTTTCCTGTGAAGAGTTCAGTTGAAGAAGTATTGTCATAGTTTCGGTCAATGGAAAGAATAAGAAAATTGGATTATGTTTTCTCTACTTAGATGAATATAAGTTGTTCTGAGTCGTTTGAGCATATTGAAATGAGAAAAATCACGGAAAGTCTGATTTCTATCGTTTTACATTCGAGGGTAACATCCGTTTTTAAGTTTAGTCATCCTCTTCACTGGTGTCTCTTCCTAGATGTGCCTTGTCCTTCGGATTTGGAGATGCTTTTTTGGTGTGATGAGAGGAGATAAGGCCTCTCTGTAGTAGTTCAGGCTGTCCTTGAACTTGTGATCCTTATGCTTCAGATACCCAAGAACTGGAATTACAGATAATGTAGCATCAAGCCTGACTCACTCCAGGGAAGGTGGGAGGGGTTGTGCGCCTGTATGTTCGTGTGTGTGTGTGTGTGTGTGTGTGTGTGTGTGTGTGTGTGTGTGTGTGTGTTAGTTTTTGAAGACAGGGTTTCTCTGTGTAGCCCTGGCTGTTGTGGAACTTGATTTGTAGACCAGGCTGGCCTCACAGAGATCTGCCTGCCTCTGCCTCCGGAGTGCTGTGATTAAAGGTGTGCACCATCACACCTGGCTATGTTTATCCTTTTAAAAATTAAGTCCTGGCACCCGACTGGACTAAGAGTGGTCCAGAGGGTGCCTGGACTGGTCTACTCTGGTGACTAGCCTAGCAAATAACCTAGTGTCATCATAGAGCCTTTGTCCAGTGACTGATGGAGGCAGATACAGAGATCCACAGCCAGGCACCAGGCTGAGCTCCGGGAATCCAATTGATGAGAGAGAGTAGAGATACTGCAGGTGAGGGACGTCGAGATCATGACGGGAGGATGTGCAGAGATGACTGACCACACTAGTGGAAGCCCATGAACTGTGGACTGGTGGCTGTGGAGCCCCCATGGGACTAGACTAGGCCCGTTGGATACGGAAGACGGTTGTTTGGCTCGAACTATTTGGGGGGCACCCAGGCAGGGGGATCGGGATCTGTCCCTGGTCTATGGGTAGGCTTCTGGAACCCAGCGCCTGTGGTGTGACACCTTGCACAGCCTTGGTGCAGTGGGAAGGGGCTTGGACCTGCCTAGGCTCAGTGTGCTGGGCTCTGCTGACTCCCCATGGGAGACCTCGATTTGGGGGATGTGGGGATGCGGGGTGGCTTGGGAAAGAGGGCTGGGAGGTGGGAGGAGGGAGGAGGGGGGACCTGTGGATAGTATGTGGAGTGAGTAGAAAATTTCTTAATAAAGAAAAATGAAAGAAAAAAAATTAAGTGTCCCCCCCGCCCCCCGAGACAGGGTCTCTCTATCTAATTCTGACTGTCCTGAACTCACTGTGTAGACCAGGTTGGCCTCAAACACAGAGATCCTTCCATGTCAGCCTAAAATTAAGTTTTTAAAAAAGTATTTCTTTTTCTTTTTTAGATAGATTCTTGTTATTGTAGTCTAGGC